ATGCATGCAAGGCAAGCACTCTACCACTGAGCCACCTTTCTAGACCCATGTTAAGAATTTTAAAATGTAGGGGCTGGGAAGGTGGCTCAGTGGTAGAGCCCTCAGCTCTTCAGCTCAAGGCCAGCGCTCTACCACTTGAGCTACAGCACCACTTCCGGTTTTCTGGTGGTTTATTGGAGATAGGAGTCTCACGCGGTCTCTCCTGCCCGGGCTGGCTTTGAACCGCGATCCTCAGATCTCAGCCTCCTGAGTAGCTAGGATTACAGGTGTGAGCCACCAGCGCCCGGCTAAAAAAAAGAATTTTAAAATGTAGTTGTTCTTATCTTGTATGAGTATACATACTCATACAAATTATTTTGTAGGTTGATACAACTTTGAACAAGTTTTCCTTGTAGAAACGTTGAAAGCTTCATGGGATCTTAGGTAATTTCTCTGTTTTTCAAAGAATCATGATTCCTTTTTTTCACTATTCACTTACAAATGAACTAAGTATGTTCAGGCAAGAAAAGAATCCCCATTTATCAAAATACAACATTCTCAAACCAGATACTTAGCATTTTTCTGTAACTGTACAGAAATGTACTTCTCTCTTCCTGAGATTATAAAGATGAACAGAATAGAATTGGCAATTGCAGGCTTTAAACTTTGCATTTAAAATCATTTTGAAGTAAATATAAAAGTCTTTTATGCATGTGTTTTCAGAATAAAAAAAGAATCCAGGGGCTGGGAAGGTGGCTCAGTGGTAGAGCGCTTGCCTTGCATGCATGAGGCCCTGGGTTTGATTCCTCAGCACCACATAAGCAAAAAGAAAAAAGCCAGAAGTGGCGCTGTGTCTCAAGTGGTAGAGCGCTAGCCTTGAGCTGAAGAGCTGAGGGACAGCGCCCAGGCCCAGAGTTCAGTCTGCATGACCAGACCCCCCCCCCCGCCCAAAAAAAAAGAATCCAAAGCCTCTGTTAATATGTACTGTTGGTGCCTGGGGACCACATTGCAGCAGAAACCTAATTTAGGGAAAGTAGACTCAGTCCTTCAGGGTGCTGGTGGCTCACACCTATACTACTACTTAGATGACTAAGACCTGATTTGAAGCCAGCTCAGGTAGTCTATAATAGTCTTATCTCCAATTAACCAGGAAAAAAGCTGGGCTAGAAGTGTGGTTCAAGAGGTAGAGCCCTAGCTATTAGTAGAGAAAGACAAGCACCAGTATAAGTCCCTGAGTTGAAGCCCTGGTATTAACACACACAAAAGAACTCTGTCTACCAGTCATCAGAGCCTCAAACCTGTAGTCCTAGCTATTCAGGAGTCTAAAGCTTGAGTAGGAAAGTCCATGAGACTCTTTTTTGTTTTTCCTTGCCAGTCCTGGGGCTTGAACTAAAGGTCTAGACACTGTCCCTGAGCTTCTTTTGCTCAAGGCTAGCACTCTACCACTTGTCACAGCACCACTTCTGGCTTTTTCTGTTTATGTGGTACTGAGGAATGGAACCTAAGCATCATGCATGCATCTCTCTCTCTCTCTCTCTCTCTCTCTCTCTCTCTCTCTCTCACACACACACACACACACACACACACACACACAGTAGTCCTTCCCAGAATTGCCATGTTTTTGTTCTAATACTGCTAATGTATAAAGACAATAAGACAATTTGTTTGTTGTGCTGGTTATTACATTTTTGCATGTAATTCCCTTGGTATAGAATATTATTGCCACTTTCTACTCAGAGAAACCAAAACTTAAGAGTGGAGTTTATCCAGAGTTGTTGACTACTAGTGAGATTTCAGCATCTGGAATTCATCCTGTTATTTTTTGTTTTTTGTGGTTGGTATTTGGTTTATGGTTTTTGGTTTTGTTTTTGGTTTTTGGGTTTTTTTTTGCCAGTCCTGAGGCTTGAACACAGGGCCTGGATGCTGAGCTTCTTTGTGCTCTTTGTTCTCAAGGCTAGCGCTATACCACTTGAACCACAACACCACTTCTGGCTTTTTCTGAGTAGTTTTATTAGATATAGAAACTCACAGACTTTTCTGCCTAGGCTGGCTTTGAACTATGATCCTCAGATCTCAGTCCCCTGAGTAATTAGGATTACAGGTGTGAGCCACCAGCATGACGTACGTGTGTGTGTGTGTGTGTGTGTGTGTGTGTGTGTGTGTGTGTGTTTATGTGGTGCTGTGGAATCAAACCGAGAGCATGCTAGGCAAGCTCTCTGCCACTAAGCCACATTCCCTATCCTGGTATTTTGCCATCAGATAAGGTACATCCTGCACTTTTCTTTCTTCCTTTTCCTTCCTTCCTTCCTTCCTTCCTTCCTTCCTTCCTTCCTTCCTTCCTTCCTTCCTTCCTTCCTTCCTTCCTTTCTCTCTCTCTCTCTCTCTCTTTCTTTCTTTCCTTCTTTCTAAGCAATACTGGAGTCTGAACTCAGGATCTCATATGTGCTTGGCTTGCTTGTTCAACTAGTACTCTACCACTGAAACCACATCTCATCCCCACTTTTGGATGATTATTTTGGAGGTGGAGTCTTGGACTTTCCTTTCCAGTATTGCTTTGAACCTCAGTCCACCTAAGTGGCTAGGATTATAGACCTGAACCACTAGCACCTGCCAACCTACATCTTTTATCATTGATTTTTTAAAAAGCTATTCAGGAAGCTTTGAATTGGTATTAGAGTAAGTGGAAATCTTGTGTTGCCTTTAAAAGTGGATTCAGATTAGGGATAAAGGGTGGGGCAGTGGGTGATAAAATGTTATCAGAATCTTTCATAATGTAATTTGTAGCTAGTTTGGGAGCTGGGAAACTGGAAAGCAAAGGAAGGGGTGACATTGTCAAGAAGAAGAAAGGGAGGAGGAGGACTCATTACTTTGCTTATGAAATGGTAATCCCTCCATGCACCTTAATAATAACAATAAAAGTATACTTAATCAAAAAAATTAGTAGAGTAAAAACATCTCATGATGTAGAAGGGTTAAATATGGTGACAGTGTTATTTCTGGGAGTTGATTTCTTTTCACAGAGTAGGAATTAATGCATTACAATTGTGGGAGTTTGTGAAGTCTAGTTATGTTATTTTTTTTTTTGAGGGCTGTAAAGTTTGGATCTGAAGTGTGTACGGCCTCAATTTTTGTTAAGTGTGAAATGAATTATAATATTGTTCCTCTCTGAGATAGTTCTTTTGAGTTGTACTGTCCATAGACAAAAGTTCATCTAGTGTAACAGTGAGGTAGTTTTTCACAAACAACATAAGCAGCACTGAGTGGAGAAATAAAACACAATAGACTTTTTTTTTTGTCGGTCGTGGGGCCTGAACTCTGGGCCTGGGAGCTGTCCCTCAGCTCTTCAGCTCAAGCCTCAGCCCCATTTCCTGCTTTTTCTACTTATGTGGTGCTGAGGAATCGAACCCAGGGCCTCATGAATGCAAGGCAAGCACTATACCGCTGAGCCATCTTCCCAGCCCCCACAATAGACACCTTAAAAGTCCTTGTGATAGCCAGGTGCAGGTAGCTCTTGCTTATAATCCTAGCTAGCTACTCAGGAGGCTGAGATCAGCGTGTCTGGGTTTAAACGGGCTGCAAAGTCCATGAGACTCTCTTATCTTCCTTTTAGAACTTTATTATATAGTACAGATTAGCTACCACTGTACTACTCAGCATTTCCTCTGCTGCCCATTTTGGGATTGTGCTCACAACTCTCTCTCTCTCTCTCTCTCTCTCTCTCTCTCTCTCTATCTCTTTCTCTCTCTCTCTTAACATAGCAATGTTATGGCTTTTCCTTTTGGCTTTTGTTTGAGGCATAGAATTCACAACATGACTTTTATACTTTACCTAGTTTTCTTCTGCTTCTCCTATTACTCTACAGATAAGTCTGGTAGCCTGGCTTGTCCATGTACCTCATAGGAGGCATCATTGGACAAAACATTCATTTGGAGTATGAAAATGTGGGTATGAGACTTAGCTATATGAGATCATTCATTTATAACCCTACGGAGCCATTTCATTTTTCTAGATCTGTTTTCACATCTACAAAATGCCATGGTTTAGTTTTAGGACCTCCAGATCTTCCCTAATTGTGTAATTAGGTGTGCATTTAAGTAACCTGAACGCAGTGTGGCTCTTGAGGGTTAGAAGCATGAGTTGGACTTGCCATACTTAATCATTAAAATAGTTTTCCCATACAAGGGCAAATGTCTATGCTCACAAGAACCTCTTGGCTATGACCCATACATTCAGTAACCTAGAGGATGTATTGGGGAATCCCAGGATTGGTCTGTGCATTCCCGAATCTGCCAGGAGGGCTAACAGCTGTTCTGCTTGCTATTACAGAACAGTACATCTCTCTCTCCTAGGTCACCAACTTGTTTTACCTGTCAAACTTCCTTTGTTCTCTTGGGTCAGTGTCTTGTGTTTTCCAAAATCTGCTCTCTAATTTTCTTTCTTAAAAAATACTAATCTGGGGCTGGGAAGGTGGCTCAGTGGTAGAGTGCTTGCCTCGCTTGAATGAGGCCCTGGGTTCGATTCCTTAGCACCGCATAAGCAGAAAGAAAAAAGCCAGAAGTGGCGCTGTGGCTCAAGTGGTAGAGCGCTAGCCTTGAGCTGAAGAGCTGAGGGACAGCGCCCAGGCCCAGAGTTCAGGCCCCACAACCAACCAAAAAAAAAAAAAAAGCTAATCTGCAACCAAGGATTGGGACTCAAGGGGGAGGTCCTAAGTGCAGTCCTCAGTACCACAAGAGAAAAAGAAAAAAAAAAGTATATTATTTTTCCCAGTCATTCTTTTGCTTTCTTACTGAGTGTTTAATTCTAGGTGTTTAGGAGTCTGACCTTCCATTTCCAGAGACAGTTTCTTTTCAATTGTCACAGAGTTCTTACATAATGAACCAGTTATAAGGAGTCTTATATCCACATAGCTGAGAATGCTTCAAAGAAGATCTTTCACAGACTTATGAGATCGCACCTGATGACTACCCTTTGAAAATGGAAACAAGAAGGTTGATTTCCCACCCCCTCTTGTTTCATTTTAGGTTTTGAATGAAGAATGTGATCAGAACTGGTACAAGGCAGAGCTCAATGGGAAAGACGGCTTCATTCCCAAGAACTACATAGAAATGAAACCACATCCGTAAGTTGAGCTCCTCTGGTCTCCTAGGGAGGTGACCCACCCACCTGTTTGCTTGGAGTATAGTTGTTAAAATCGAGACCAGTGGAATGAGTGTCATACTGTTTGTTCTGCCTTTCCAGAGAAATTAACCAAGCATAGTGAGTACAATGGTAATAATGTGCCTTTTTTCTTCTTTCTTTCCTTTTAATGGTAGTGGGGATTGAACTTGGGGCCTCATGCCTTCTAGGCTAAACAAACACTTTACCACTTGCATCACACTCCCCATAATGGTACATTTTACACTTGATCTTAGCCAAAAGGCCAAAGCAATGGTATGCATTTTACATTAATAACTCTCAATGATCTTCAAAGACAAAACAATACTTTAGCAAGTCCTTAATTCTTTTTTAATAAAACCCTTGGGGCTAGATGTGTTTCATAATTCTTTTGAATTACCATATGTAGCCACACCTCTAGCCCAAGATTTTTGTTTTGTTTTGTTTCTCTTTTTGAAGCTAGTTAATTGAAATGGAGTCTTTGTGAACTTTTCTGGTGGATTATACTTGAAGCCAAATCCTCCAGATCTCAGCCTCCTGAGTAGTGAGGATTATAGGTGTGAGCCACAGCACCTGGCTCTGCCTGTTATTTATTTTATTTTTTTTGCCAGTTGTGGGAGCTGAACTCTGTACCTGGGCACTGTCCCTCAGCTCTTCAGCTTAAGGCTAGTGCCCTACCACTTGAGCCACAGCACTACTTCTGGCTTTTTTTTAAAGATTTTATTTATTTATTTATTTTATGTTTATTTTTTTATTTTTTTTTATTTTATGTTTT